CCCCCTCCCCAGCAGAAGAGCCAGCCCACCCCCTCTCTCACTGTGCCAAGGGACTTCTGCAAAAATAAAGGTTTTATTTCTGCACCTTCCTCCCAAATTCTCACCTGCGTGAAAGCTGCTGCATTGCTACAGATCACCACAGAGCCTCATCCCACCTTGCACCCCTATCCTCATAATCCCCTCTCAGGACACACACAGGAACAACCCTAAGAGGCTTTTCTGGGGGAAATATAACAGGCAGAACATGATACAGAGGTATTTCCAGCACACCAGGAATTGAAGTTGTTCGTGGGGTATTCAGGGGGTTGGAGAAGAGGGTCCCCTCAAAAAACCACAGCTAAAAGACACACAAAAAAGCTAAGAGGAGGAAATTTTCATCACTTGTAGGCCTGGAGCAGCTCTAAAAATGCTATTTCTTTCTTAGGTGTGGGTGAAATAGGGAAAGTCTGGGCATTAAACCATCGCAAACCCAACAGAAGTGGGTGGTGGTGTCACAGCAGTGTTAGGTTGTCCCTACCCAAATGAATGAGGAGAAAGCACAGAGAGAAAGAGAAGATGCAGGACTGTGGTCCCTCCTTGGAAGAAACTTTATTTTAAGTCATAACAAAATGATTGTGATAGGTTTTTTGTTCTCTCTCTGATGCTGGGAGCTTCTCTGTGTTATACAATGCAGTTTCTATAGGGATCAGTAAAAATAATCCCAGTAATTACAGACAGGAGCAGAAACATCAGGTGAGCAGCATTTTTTTGGTGGATCTGGGGGTTTTTTGAGGTCACGTCATGCACTGAGACACCATCACAATTCATCACATTCATCCTCCCCATCCTCTGGGACTCTGCAGACATTTTTCCTAACACACCCCCCTGCCCAGCTGTTCATTTTCAGGCATCTCCATCCATCCAGGTGCTGGACCATCTCTGCCATTTCATCTCTCAGCCCCTCGACATCCTGACGTTATTTCTACAAGAATTTCCTTTAATTCTCCCCCCTGCCATTGCAGAACCACCAGCACAATTTTTGGCCTCACCAAAACGTGCTCCTCCGCTCGTGTCAACAACTCAGCCCTTGTTATTTCTTCCAGATGCTTTCTTCCCTCCCCAGATCTCCTGTTGCTGCTTGGACATAAAGCCAGGCCTTCGAATCGCCCCCGCTTTTTTTTGTAGATATTGGCATTTGTGTGGGAGCACATGGATTTGGTTTTATTTCCCCTCAAAAAGCATCTCTGGTATGTTAGATGACTCTTTAATGACACTTTGTTACTCAGAGAGCAGCTCCTGCATAAGGGGAAGGGGCATCTAAGGTGGTTCAAGAAGTGGTTTGCTCACTATTGTCAATGAGAACAAGGTTTGGGGGTTTGTTTGGGATTTGGTGGCTTTGTTTTTAGTATCTGTATCTTTTGCCCTGGCTCCACATACAATCATAACTCGCTGCTGTCAAAACACAGCCATGGAGATGCAACATAAGCAGCCAGGGGAGGCCAAAATGCTGTGCCCCAGGCGTTTTGGGTAGATGTCAACTAAACCCCCTGCAAGGAAACAAGCATTTGGTTTTGGGGCCAGAGGAGGGCTGACAGAAGTAGCTATGTCCTTGAAAACCCCACGTAGGAAATCAGGGCCCTGTGAGCAAGGGCCTCCCACAACACATGCAGAGATCCAGATGTCTGCTCTGACGGTACCCGAAGCAGAGGATGCTTCCCCTTCATCCACACCCAAATTAGCATCAGATGATGCACCCCACTTTGCATCCCAGCCCAAGCCTCCACGATTCAGCTCCAAACCTGCCACATCAGAGGCAAAGCAGCCTGCGAGGACGCATGCCGAGGCCGAGGTGCAGACTTCCCATGTGGACGTACCTCTGGGAAACAAGGAGCAGCTGAACTGCTCGTGTACCGAGGCCCAGGTACAAACCTTGTGGTAGCCAAACTCCACTCCTGCAACACACAGACATGGTTTAGGGTATGCATGCAAGGAAACAAAAGATATTTCTCTTAATTTCCCCTGGCCAGAGGTGAGCTTTGCTCTGCTTCCCAATTTCTTTAGACCAAAATAGCAGCAGTACAGCAGCAGGGCAATGTGCAATTGGATTCAGTCAAAGTGTAGCAGGGATTTCAATTCACTTCTCAGTCCAAAAAGCCAAAAGTCTCCAGTGAAAGCCACCCTGCTGACTACATATTTACATGCCAAGGTGCCCCCAGAGCATCAGGACAGCAGTGACGAGAGTCCATAAAAAACTTGCCCTGAGTCAATAAAAACCAAGTGAAACGCTGTAAGCCCAGCCCACGGTATTTTTGTCCTGCAGCTGCTGGGTAAAGACATAAAAACACAATTTAGCTGGGAAGGGTGCTTATGGTAAGATTATTCTGGCTCATTATGCAGGAATTTCTCTATTACCCCTGGGGATTACGTGGGAGTAGGCTTTTTACTGAGCACTTGCACACATGTGTCCAAAATTGCTCAATCTACACATTTCTGTCTGTGCTTGGAGATGAACCAACTTTAAAATTTCCCCCATCCAGACTCTTTCTCCCTCAAAAAAAATCATAGTCAAGACTTTCAAGAATGTTTTCAGTCCAGAAGCTGCTTTATTGCAATAAGTGGAAAGAAAAGCAGAGTAATCTGGTGCTTCTCAGGGCAAAAACTTCGCTTTTCTACCCTGGCATTGAATTTTGGAGGTGCTGGCATCAGAGTTTGCTGGAAATAACTGGTGCCATGTAAATAACCCCCATTCAGGAAAATGACACAGACACCCGTAACTGGAAAACACTGGTTGGTATTGCCCAGTTTTTGCGTAACTGGCCTCCACCTTGGAAAAGCCGTCGTTATTTAACAGGGCTGGAGGTTGCGCCTGTTTCCGCAGCAGCTCGACTCGGTAACACTATATCCGTGAAATACAGACACTTAACACCATCCAGGTTCTTCAGCCCTGCTTTTCTCTCATTTGCTGGATTTTTCTCCTCTTATCTTCTCATTATTTTCTCTGCATTAAGAGTAATCTGAGTATCATCATCTTTCAAAGCTAGAAACAAGGCACATTTAACCCTCTGCTTCCTCTAGTAATAGCTCACATTTGCTCTGGTGGGATTAAATACCAAGGGGTTAGGGAATAAACTGAAGTTCCCATTTATCCTAGCCCACATGAAAATAGCCTAATGGACTAACCTAGTCCTATAAGAAAAATTAACCTAAAAAAGATAGATAATCCAGAATATAAAGGTCTATGGACAGACTATAGGAAAATTCCTGGCTGTAAAGATAAACTGCTGGCAAAACCTGCTGGTGTAATTGCCCTGAAGTCAGAGTTTTGGAAGAGCTAGGCTGAATATTTTGGATAAAATTTAAAAGTCATGGAGATGCATCGTTAGATTCCTATATTTGAGTCACTAAAATCTTGCCAAGATCTCCAGGACTGAGAGCCACACACCCAGCACAGGTAGCAGACCAACTTTTCAAAGACTCTACAAACAAACCTCCACATTTTCTCTTTGTTCCTGTGGATAGTTTATAAACAAGTCATTATTTAACAATTTGGTTTTGCCAGCTGGGACCCTAAAAGGAATGAAAACCAATTTTTAAGCAGTCAGACACCATATTCCTGAGCTACAAGATGCAAAGTACTTCTGGCTTTGTAATACAGCTATAATATTCCCTAGCATGGGGAAGACCATCTCAACTACTAAATTACCACAGCATAACAAAGCAATTAATAAAACCCACAACACCTGCCTTCTTGTGATCACCCCATATTGCGTTATCTCCTCCCATTGAAAAGCCCTTTTCAGGGTGGAACTTATTTAAGCTCGTTCTGCTAAATATCCAACCTCGCCGGAGCATCCCAGGCACAGAGGAGAGCAACAAAAGACAGAAGAAAACCAGCAAAGCAAATCACACCTTACAACCTGGACTCCACTAGGTAAGAGATTTTTGCTGCGTGGTGTTTGTGCCTCCAAAATTGTGTAGGATCAAGCAAGCCATTTCATGCTTTAGGCATCATTTTGGCTCCTGGTGGTTAAGAGCTCCTCCTAGGACACAGCAACTTACATACAAGTACTGATTCTCCATGCAAGAGCCACCCCAAAAGATAGGGGTTTTGCTCCAAGTAGCAACTTCATGGGCTCCAGACCCATGTTTAGGTTCCCAAACCAAGCCCTCAGTGAGACCAGGTTGGTGCTCATCTGCCCCAGGCAGACACAATGAGCTCCCTCCCTGCTTTAGGAGTTGGCCAGAAGTGGTCTGAAACCACCCATCCCATATCAGTTATAACAGAATATATATTATTGGCATTGTCATCACCCACATAAAGGATTTACTGCCCTCTCTCAGCACAGCAAACAGCACTTCTAGTATCTGATCCTGAAAAAGGATTGTTTCCAACTGAATACAGGCATCTTAAAACCAGATGTGGTCATACATTCTCCAGTAAATCTGAGTACATCTCCAATGTTGGTAGCAATGCCATTTATTTGCTAATACTTACCAGTAAATTTGCCAGCATTTATTGAGACAGTAATCACACAGCCAGAAGAGACCCCCTGTTATCTGCTGAAAGGGAGAAGTCAACACCAAACATGATTTTCTATCTTTTCAGATTAAATATGGATTTGAAAGGCTCTACCTGTGCAGCTGCAGCCTCTCGCCTTTGCTAAGCGTGCTGCTAAAAAGCCATCATACACAGAAGTGGAGCACACCGAGCTGTGAAAAGGGCAGAGCTCCCAGGCTGTAAAACCCTCAACCCTCCCATGGCCACAAAAGCCATCAACGCAAAGAAATACCTCCAGCTGCTCCTTCTTCAGGTCGCTCTTTTAGGGCCTGTCTTCTGCAGGAAGGTCTTGGTTTGGCCAACAGAAGGCAGCCACTGGCTGAATGTGAAGATCCTCATAGAGGAGCTCATCCGCCGCGGCCACAGTGTCACTGTCCTGGTGTCCAACGCCTCCCTCTTCATTAAACCCCAGGCTGAGGCCGCAGAGAGGTTTGAGGTCTATAACGTGCCCTTCGAGACAGACACCATTGAGAACGTGATTGGGGACATGGTGGCGCTGTGGCTGAACAACAGACCAACCACCTTGACCTTCTGGCGGTTTTACAAGGAGTTGGGAAAGCTGTCCAAAAACTGGCACCGCATGAACAGGCTGATGTGCGAGGCGGTGCTAACCAACCCCGAGCTGATGGCCCATCTGCAGGGCTCTGGCTACGACCTGCTGCTGTCAGACCCGGTGACCCTCTGCGGCGACCTCGTGGCTCTCAAGTTGGCCATCCCCTTCATCTACTCGCTCCGCTTCTCCCCGGCCTCCACCATGGAGAGGCACTGCGGGAAGATCCCAGCTCCACCGTCCTACGTGCCTGCAGCCCTTTCAGAGTTCACCGACTGCATGTCCTTCAGCGAGAGGATAAAAAACATCGTGTCTTATCACCTGCAAGACTACGTTCTCCAGAGCTACTGGGGAGAATGGGATGACTACTACAGCAAGGTACTAGGTAAGCCTTCTGCTGCTTCGCTTCTTATGGTACAGCCTCCCACCTTGGGAGATGTAGGACTGGAACATGGCAGGGTGGCAAAGCCAAAAGCTGGGGGGGGGCAGGAGGCATACTTTTTTTTGGGAAAGACCTTTAAGATAATCAAGTCCAACCTCAACCTGTCCACCACTAAGCCACGTCTCCAAGTACTCATCTCCCTGTCTTTTAAAAACCTCCAGGGATGGTGACTCCATCACTGCCCTGGGCAGCCCCTTCCAGTGCCTGATAACCCTTTCAGTGAAGAAATTTTTCCTAATATCCAATCTAAACTCCAAATAAGTTTGTCATTATATCCCTATGTGGAAAAAGGAATAAGCCACCGGGGTCCATCAATAGTTCCCACTCACCTGTCAAGGTGCTGTGCTGCTGTGCCAGTACATTAAAACAGGGATACAGCGGTCATCCCAATGGAAGGATTTTTAATGTGGAGGTTGAAACAACTTCTTGCACCATATGAGGCCCTCAGTCAGGAGAGCTCAGCACAAACATTTCCCCTCCAGGAATAAAGCTGTTTTCCTAATCTAGAGGATCATAACAAGGAGTGGGAGGGCTGGTAAATTATACACCAACTCTGTCACCCTCAGTAACAACACTGAAATGCATCGTGGCTTTGTGTTAGAGACTTACATACAGCACTGGACATATAAAACCAATCCTTGAAACAAGTTTTATTTAAAAGCAGTAAGTCTTCCTCTGCAGGCTCTTCTTCTGGACTGTTTTGAGTAAATACCTAAAAAAATATGTTGAAGTACTAACCACACACGATCAACAGAACTTTTTAATTAACCTCATATTGAACTTGTGGTAAAAGGGCACTTGCAAATCTCCCTGGGTTCAATTTCCTGCAAGCACCTGTGTGCTGCAGCACTCCACAAGTACACCAAGCTGTTGCCAAGCACACAGCAGAGGAGGTATCTCAGAGCTTGGCTTCTCACAGCCTGCTTGTTTCCGTCACCCTGTTATCCTGGAGAGGATGCTCTCAGCAGCACGGAAGCTGTAGCAAAAGCCTTGCACAACACCATGATTAGGAAACCGGTGAGCAACAGAGCTGGACAGGAGCCCAGCAATGATGATTTTCACAGAGTGAAGAGAGTTCACGTTTTTCTTAACGGCACATCAAAAGCATGACCAGAAATAAAACCGTTTACCTGATTCTTCTGGTTGCACTTATGGTGCATAATTGTCACCCAGGGGCAGGCAGGGCAGCCCACACCATCACCCACCAGCTCCAGCCTCCCATGACGCATGCTCTGGAGGAGGCAAGGTCACACGAGGACAGCCGTACTCTGATACCAGAGTCACTTGCCATGGAGTTTCATTCACTTCGAGACAACTTTTTAGCTGCAGCCCTGGATCGCCACCTTAAGTGCACTGCAGACGGATGCTCAGTGGCTTTATAAAGCAAAAGGCTGCCCAGATGGTGGGCGAACATCATCTCGGCTGAAGCATGGAAAAGGATGAAAGACTTTTCTACCAAAAAAATAACACAGAGACTGTGATCAGACAGGCACGTGGGTCAGGATAACAAAACAGGACATGACCCTCACGGGACGGAGCTCCCCAGGGTTCATAGATCCCCTTGCTGCTCTGGAGGAAGCACCTCTCCCAGCTTCAGCAAGTTATTTACCAGCAGATGGTGCCAGCTGGCCCCAGAGACCTCTTTTTACAGGAAAACATTATCCAGGACGGGATTTCACGGCAGCTACGCCAGCTTCTCGGCCTCTGGAACAAGGCAGCGTCACCCAGGCCCAGCCCAGCTTGGGTTGCCCCACTGCTCCCACTGAAGGGAGGCCACAGTGGCACTGCCACGCAGGGCAGGCAATGGCTGGGAAAGGGGTGGCTGTGATGTGGCTACTGGCTGTGGTGGGCTGGGGGTCCGGGGGGAAGGTGTTGGTCTGGCCAGCTGACAACAGCCACTGGCTCAACATGGAAATCATCCTCCAGGAACTCATGGCCCGGGGCCATGAAGTGACTGTGCTGATGCCTTCGTGTTTCCTCGTCCTCAACTCCATCCAGGCCTCACCTTTCCACTTTGAGGTGGTTGAGGTGCCAATCACCCAAAAGGAGATGGCTACCTTATTAGACGAAGCTTTGTATTTTTGGTTTTACCAGGAGAGAGAGCTACCCATCTGGGAAAGTGTTTTCAAGTCGTTTCAATTGGGATACAACCTGAAGAACATAACCAAAACCATTTGCGATGAAGTCCTGAAGAACAGAGCGCTGCTGGAGAGGTTGAGGGCTTCCAACTTCGATGTCCTCTTTGCAGACCCACTGATGCCCAGCGGGGAGCTGATTGCCGAGAAGCTGGGTATCCCCTTCGTGTACACCATCCGGTTCTCCATAGGCAACACGGTGGAGCGGCGCTGCGGGATGCTCCCGGCGCCTCCGTCCTATGTACCAGCCGCCATGAGCCACCTAACAGATAGGATGCCCTTCCTGGAAAGGCTAAAAAACACCTTTAGCTATGCTGTGCAGGACATCTTATTTCATGACATTCTCTGGCGAAGCTGGAATCAATACTACAGTGATGTTTTAGGTAAGGCTGCTCTTATTTCCAGATTTTACATCTGCTGCACACACAAGAGTAAGTACTTGGCTTAAAACTAGAGAATAAAACACAAATTGGGAACAGAACAGCCCTGAACTTGCTCTCCTTTCTGTGACGTTCTTGTGTCATGTCAAACAATCCAGGCAAATACAAACCTTACCTGTTTATCTACGTTAGCAGAATTTAGTCCATGCAGGTACCTTTAACATATAATGCTTTCAGAATAAATATAACGGTGCTAGCACCACTTGAAACAGGACTCATTGTATTCATGATAAAGAATAACAAAACAAGACTATACACCCACCAACCACTACAACTGAATTAAACCTTTTGAAACATAAATTAAAAATAATTTTGGAAACCTACATAATACCATTACAATCTTATTTTCTCACAACAACCTTTTCAACCTCTGACTCTGCTGGAAATGAGGGGCATCATCCTCTGCTGGTCTTTTAAAGGCTTGGAAGAGCAGCTGACCCTGCCTGCTGGGACAAGGGGATACAGCTGAGACCCAATTTGCAGTCATAAAAGGCTGTCAGGAGAGACAGTATTTGGTGTTTTTCTAGCAGTCTACCAAAGAAATATTAGAAGACAGTTGTGTTTATTTATTAGCTTTTCTTTGAATAGTAGTTGTATAATAATTTTTATGTTTTTGTTTTAAGTGAGTATTATTCTTAAAAGGAAACAGGGTGAATGTATGTATGTTGGTGGGCAGGTAAATGGCTGTTATTTTATTATAAAGTTCTGAAGGTTTTCACTTAGTTTTCACTAGTATGATGTAGATTTGCTGAGGGAGCTAAGTTATTAAGAAATGCTACTATTAGAATACTCAGCCGTGTGTTTATCTGTATGGCTTACCGCGTTTAGCACCGACTAGAAAACTTTGTGTCGGCAGGAGCACAATTTGCTGATTCCTTGTGTAAATCTTAGGGCTGCTGAGACTTTGTGTTGGCTTTTTATTCGTTGAAAATGCGTGTTTTAGCATTTAAGGCCTTACGTATAATGCCTTTGTTGTTGGCTGTGTTAACCTGGTTGATCTTTGCTCTGACTGCAATGTGCTTTGACCTGGAGTGTACGTGGTAGTGGAAGAGGTGTGGAAGGAAAGGGCAAGCATTTCACAAAAACTTTGGAATATCTCAGTTTTTGCAACATATGTATACACCTTCTCTATTTCCTCAGAAAATCTTCAGAGACTTTATCATTCTAGCTTCTTTCCTAGAGCTATTTTTATATATTTAAAGCTATTTATATATTTAAAGGCTTTTTCAAGCAACGCGGTTAGGATGCAATAAAGGATTTTGTGATGAAGACACACATTTTGTTGAGAACCCAGGGATGTTTTAGCTATTGCTGAGCAGCATTTGCACAGCAGCAAGGCTTTTTCCGTGTCTCACACTGCTCCTTCCAGCGAGTAGGCTGGGGGTGCATGAGAATTTGGAAGGGGGCACAGCCGGGACAGTTGCCCCCAGCTGAGCCAAGGGATGTCCCACATCATATGGTGTCATGTTCAGCAAAATAAAAACGCTGGAGAGGAGAAGTTTGCTGTTGTTCAAGGATCTGTGATATTTTTGGATTACTTGGTTTTATTTTGGGGTTTTTTTTCCTTGCTTATTGAGCTGTCTCTATCTCAACCCATGAGTTTTCTAACTTCAGCCCTTCTGATTCTTTTCCACTCCAACCGCAGGGGAGTGAGCAAGCAGCTGTGTTGGGCTTAGATCCCTACCAGGGTTAAATCACAACATGGAGCAAGGGCTTCTAGTCCTGCTATGTTGCGAAATGTTCTTGGCAGCGAGCAGAAACAGGCACTGCCTTTATCTTGCGATCAGCCGTGGCTCTGGAGGAGGCTCCAGGTCAGGATTTGTTGCTCGCCCTGCTCTCCAGTGAGTGCAGTTTTGTTCTGACAAGCCCTCTTGCCAAGCGTGGCCCTAAGCAGATCTCACTTCTATTGGCTGGCTCGAACGTGTTTGTGTGCTGGAGCACTGAACTGCTTCCAGTTCGGCCGGGTCGGAGCCGTACATGGAGTGCTGAGACGATGGGGCCAAGGTGTGCCTGGCTGCTCTGGGCCTACGCGTGCTGCTGGAGCACTGGTTTTTGTGGGAAGGTGGTGGTCTGGCCCACTGATGCAAGCCACTGGATCAACATCAAAGTGCTGCTGGAAGAGCTTGTTCTCCGAGGTCACCAAGTGACTGTGCTGGTGCCCTCAAGCAATCTGCTCATCGACTATGAAGACGCCTCCTCTCCTTTCACCTTTGAGGTCCTGCGTGTCCCCTTTGCCCAGAAGATCCTGGATGACCTCATGGAGGACTTTATCCATTTCTGGACGAATGAAGTCTCTCATCTCTCCTCCTGGGAGATCATGTGGAGGGTGACAGAAGACCTGAAGGTCTTTACCAACATATCAAAGCAGACCTGTGACACCTTGGTGACGAACTCTCAGCTGGTAGCAAAGCTGCAGCAGGCCAAGTTCGATATTCTGATCGCTGACCCCCTGTGCATTGGCGGGGAGCTCGTAGCACAAATCTTAGACATCCCTTTTGTCTACACCTTCCGCTTCTCTGATGGGAACGTGGCAGAGCGGCTGTGCGGTGGGCTCCCGTCCCCCCCTTCTTATGTCCCTGCCAGCACCAGGGGGCTGACAGACCAGATGTCCTTCACGGAAAGGCTACAGAACTTCCTCTTCTACTTTGGCACGGATTTATTTTTCTTGAAGTTTTGGCGAGACGAATGGGATGGGTACTATAGTGATGTCCTAGGTAAGGCAGCTGTTGAATGCCTTCTCCTCTTGCACAGCTTAGGCCTTTTGAATGTTTTGTGAGCTCAACAGTGTTGTCTCAAAATACTCTTTCTCAGTGGCCAGCAGAGATGATAATCTTGTGCTGGTTGCCTGGAGGCTGTGCTTTCCTGCTTAGGTCTGGTCTAGTTTAACAGATACCAGTGTGGCTTTGCGTGTTGATGCTCTTTAGAGCACATAGTTCCAGTTTTTGTCAATGATACTAATGCTGGTCACTACTAATGGTAGTAGGTAAGGCTGGAGGGCAAAATCACTCCTTAATGAAGTGTAAGGCACCGGAGGCAGCTCCATTTGCAGCACAGGGATGGAGTGAATCCTTTTTTAACAAGCAACGCTGCCTGTCTTTGGACAACCACAAAAAAGCACCCTTCACTCTGGTTGCATGCATCGCCTGCAGGTACCGTGTTGCAACCCTGCTTAGTATATGATGCTATGCCCGAGTTCGTACTCTCCAATAAACACTAAGATCTGTCACCTTTCCCTTTCCTTCCACCACCTGGAGTTTGAAATAGTACACCTAATAGAACACCTGAAGCTGTTCTTCCAACCTAGTACAGCTCAGGCTGGATTCAAAGTCTATTCAAGAGGCCTTTTTAGTTCAGCGGACTTTGAATCTTGCGCAGAGTATTTGTGTTTAGGCAGATAACAAGTGAACAGCGAGCACAAGGGCACTATTGTTGCCCTCCAACCTCTTCCTGGGTTTCCCCAAAATGCCTCTCTGTGACTTTTTTCACACAGAAACGAAATGTTTCCTGTTTACTCATGTACTGCTCTAAATTCATCCCAACCTTTAAAAAGACAGTATTGCTATGTTTGTATCAACCTGCCAGGGCTGAGCACAGGACAGGGCAAGGAACAGGTCTGGATTTGTCCATGTTTTTTCGTTTCATGCTTGATTTGATAGACTCCACTGACTGAGAGTGCCAAAAGACAAAGGTAAGCCTCCTATTTTGCAGTCTACGGCAAACAAGACTGCTCCCTGCGTGTTGTAAACCCTTGTACCTTGTCCATAGGGAGGCCCACAACCCTGTGCGAAACGATGGGGAAAGCAGAGATCTGGTTAATCAGAACATACTGGGATTTTGAATTTCCACGCCCTTTCCTGCCCAACTTTGAGTTCGTAGGAGGACTTCACTGCCGGCCTGCAAAGCCGCTACCAGAGGTATCCTGACTTTATTCTGCTATAGTTCATTATCTGCCAAGCAGAACAAGAACCTGTTTTTCTCTCTGATCCACTGTGCAAGCTGTGACCTAAGAAAGCTCATTTTTAAAGCAGATCCTCTGCTGCGGTGGGGAGTACAGACCTGTTTAGCAATCTGCCCGGATTTGTGCGAACTGTGGGCTGAGTTTACAGCCTTTTATCAGAAAAGATGATAGCTGAGGTCAGTGGGAGCAAATATGGTGTTTGTTTTAGGAAAATCAGTGCTATCTCTTACATAAGGGTTATTTCTGAGATGCAGATTTGCAGCCCATGATGATACCGAAATGCCTGACATAAAAAGGCACTGTGAAGGGACAAATTTGCTAGACGAAACAGAGTCAAGACTTGCAGGAAGAGACAAGTGCTAAACACCTTCTCTATTCTTGCTTTAAGACATTAAAGGGAGTGAAACATGTGGAGTCTCCAGCCTATGCTCTGCTTTGGCTGGCAATAGGTGGAATTGAAACTCCCAGATACTGATGACAGCAACAAAACAAGTTCTGGTCTAGAATACTGCTTCTTAGAGGATGCAGGGATTTTCAGGACAAGTTGTCTACTGAAAAAAACCAACCCCAAACTCTGTAACTCTTCTTCCCTCTCGCTTGTAGCAGGGTTTGAGTTGGGGAAAATGAATAACCACTCCTTTTTTGGATGCTATTGCTTCATTTCACATGGTACTAGCTAAAAAAAGAAAAAGGGGAACAGGAAAACCTATTGGTCTGATTCATGTAAAAGCTGTTTAGCAACAAGTGCTGTATTGCAAGAAATAAGAGAACTGGCTGACTAACAGTGACAGCAGTGGCTTGAGGAATCAGGATGCTGCAAACCTCTGGCATTTTTCAGCACTGTTTCTTCCTGTAGACTTGTGAAATAAGATGTTGCTCCAGGAAACCCCAGAATTTGGACTGACTGTGCTAGGGAGGGTGTCACAGGGTACAGCCCTTACCCCAGTGCCAGGATCCACTACTGTTGCCTGTGCTTGGAAAGAAAAGTGTCCTGAAACTGCTTTTACCTGCTTTCAAAAAGATACAGCCTCTGTTACCTGTCACTACTTGTTTTGAGGAGAAACTGCCTGTTTTGCACAGGGGCAGCTCTATCTTTGTGATGCCCTTCCGTCAGCAGAGGTGCTTGTACACTGCAATAATCTCCTGGATAAGCTAAAAAGGTTATGCTCTCTGTTCACAGCAATCTGTGTTATCTGTATAATTACCTTTAATATGTTTGATGCTTCTCGTAGGAAATGGAAGAGTTCGTTCAGAGCTCGGGGAAACACGGCATTGTGGTGTTTTCTCTCGGGTCGATGGTCTACAACCTAACTGAGGAAAAAAGTAACATGGTTGCCAGTGCCCTCAGCCGGCTTCCACAAAAGGTGAATTTCCTTTTGAGTCTGAAACAACTTCCCTTGGTTTTTTGTCAGCTCTGATGCTTTCAGCCTTCTACCTTTGGACTGGCCTGGTTTTTATCTGTGGAGAGGCAGGCTGCTGAGTCACCTCACGGGGAGATATGGTGCTTCACCTTCTGTGAACCAAATGACGTGGAGGTGTGTCCACAGGCCAGAATAGAAAAAATTATATCTTAATAGAATTTTATATAGGTAGTAATTATGTACTTTAATATATTTATAGAATA